CAGCCCAATGCATAACCACCAGGGGTCTTCCAGAAGGATTCGAAGGCAAGTCTAGTTCTGTGTCCCAAGTCAGCGCCTTCTGTTGTTAGCTTCGTACAAACTGGCTAAGTTCTTTGAGTTGTACCTTCCCACATTACACTCACACACATACACACCCCTGGAGTTTTCAGAGAAAGGAGCTGTGGGGCAGTACATTCCTTCATATGGTGAGACAGGGTAGGGTGAGGCTATCTACTCAGACACGGGGGTGTAAGCGGCTGGGGACAGCTTAGAGGCTATCTGCAGTGGGCAGGGAGACTCGCCAGCTGGCTTGCCAAGGGCTGGAGTTCAGACCTGGGAGTCAGGGACACACAGACGGACTTCCAGTCCTTGGGAGGCAATGGGATCCCAGGAGAGCAGGTCAGAGCAGAGGCAAACAGGGCCGTGCAGCCAGGGCCAGCCCTGCCTCCATGGAAGGCAGGCCATGGCCACTGTCCAGCAGGGCTGCTTCCCAAGTCCACACCAGTCCAGTCCCAGGCTCCCCACCCACTCCCCTCCCCAGGGCCAGACACACTCACCAGGAAGTCTTCCTCACAAAACACTTTGCCGTTGACAAAGTAAAAGGCTTTCCCCCTCAGCTTCCGGCCTACAGGGAGAAACAGAAAGCACAACGATAGAGCATGAAGAAAACACTAGTATTCAGGGAAGGGGGGCTGGCGAGAGGAAGAAGGATCACCCCCCAACCCCCCAACAGTTTTAATGGCAGATACTTTACATATCAGACAATTCAATAGTTCAATCGTATCAAGAATTGTATCATCATTCCCACATCCATTTTAGAACACCCCCCACCCCGTGTTAAATGGCCTTTAAAACGAGATGAAAATGGGAGGTATGGGTGGCCTACCCATACCTACCCAAAGGGGTAGGCAAGCGTCCTAGGGCTTGTTAGCATGTCTCCTGGCAAGACAGCCTCGAAGTCCCTGGAAACCTGTCTGATCTCAGCGATGGGCTTTCAGGTGGCATGGGGTTAGTGGGCCAATTGGGGAAAATCATCAGTTTGCAAAGCAGGGGAGACTTTAGAAAAGAGACTGATCATCTCGACCCTCTGGCTTAGTAGAGGAATGTGAAAGGGGAACAAAAGAAATCTGTCAATGAGGCTTTTGCAAATAGAGCACAAGAGAATCCCTTTGGAATTAGGTCTTGATATGTTTCCTGATCATCTCTTAGGAAAAGCCATCACTCTGAAATTTCCTGTGACATATTGACTGGACTTCTGCTCACCTTAGTGTGAAGTTTACATATTTCACAGAGACATCTCATTCTCCATAAAACATGACCCAGATAAATACATTCATGTTGGGTTAGTGCCTGCCAAGTGAGTGGAGCACAGGGTTCCACACTGATCTTTCAACACACCAATTCGCAAGGGCCTATGGAGGGTCAGAGGGTGTCGCAGCACTAGATAAGCAGTTTCATTGTTAATTGAACCTGTTACATTAAAAACTTCAAGAACTTAATTTTTCTGTACTGTATATTGATGATAAGTAATTTTTTTAGAGAATGATGTTTTATCTCTAGAGGAGCATAATCTAAGGAAAGATATTGTGGGTATATAAAAAAAAA